CGAGGGAAATCGAGTTCTTGTCTTGTCCGACCGTGGTGTCAACGCTGACCGTGTCGCCATCAGTTCGCTAGCCGCTTGTGGAGGAGTCCACCACCACTTGCTCCGAAACAAGGAGCGTAACAAGGTCGCCTTGATGATCGAGTCTGGCGAGGCGCGCGAGGTTCACCACATGTGTGTCCTCCTCGGGTACGGTGCTGACGCTATCTGCCCATGGCTCGCCATGGAGGCCATGCTCAAAGTTGGTCGCGAGGGCCTTCTCAAGGTCGAACTCTCGAACGACCAGCTCATCGGCAACTGGAAATACGCCGTCGATGGTGGTATTTTGAAGGTGATGTCCAAGATGGGTATCTCCACTCTCTCATCTTACAAGGGTGCCCAGATCTTTGAGGCTCTCGGTCTCGACAACTCTGTTATCGAAAGGTGCTTCGCTGGAACAGCATCGCGCATCAGCGGTTCCACTTTCGAGCTCCTCGCCATGGATGCGCTCGAGTTCCACGACCGTGGTTACCCATCTCGCGAGACAGTTTCGATCCCAGGTCTTCCCGAGAGCGGAGAGTACCACTGGCGTGACGGAGGAGAAGCGCACATCAACGACCCAGCCAGCATCGCCAACCTGCAGGAGGCTGCCAGAGAGAGGAACCAGAGCGCCTGGGATGCCTACTCTAAGGCAGCTCACAACGCGATCAAAGCAACTTCGCTCCGTGGTCTTCTCGACTTCGATTACACCAAGTCTCGTCCAATTCCCGTAGACCAGGTTGAGCCATGGACAGAGATCGTTCAGCGCTTCTGTACCGGCGCCATGTCGTACGGTTCCATCTCCATGGAAGCCCACTCGACTCTCGCCATCGCAATGAACCGTCTCGGCGGCAAGTCGAACACGGGAGAGGGAGGTGAAGACGCCGAGAGGTCCATTCCCTTGCCAAACGGTGACTCGCTACGATCCAAGATCAAGCAGATTGCCTCTGGTCGTTTCGGTGTCACGAGCAACTACCTCGCCGACTCTGACGAGCTTCAGATCAAGATGGCGCAAGGTGCCAAGCCCGGTGAAGGTGGTGAGCTCCCTGGTCACAAGGTCTCGGCTTCCATCGCCCGAACACGTCATTCGACTCCTGGCGTCGGTCTCATCTCGCCCCCTCCTCACCACGACATTTACTCGATCGAGGATCTCAAGCAACTGATCTACGACCTCAAGTGCTCCAACCCTCGTGCCCGCATCAGCGTCAAGCTTGTCTCTGAAGTCGGAGTCGGCATCGTTGCCTCCGGTGTCGCCAAGGCCAAGGCAGACCACATCTTGATCTCGGGTCACGACGGTGGTACAGGTGCTTCCCGATGGACCGGCATCAAATACGCCGGTCTCCCATGGGAGCTGGGTCTTGCTGAAACTCATCAAACTCTCGTCCTCAACGACCTCCGCGGACGCGTCACCGTACAGACCGACGGTCAGCTCCGCACTGGTAGGGATGTCGCTATCGCTTGTCTCCTTGGTGCTGAGGAGTTTGGCTTCGCCACAACCCCTCTGATCGCCATGGGGTGCATCATGCTCCGCAAGTGCCACCAGAATTCTTGCGCAGTCGGGTGAGTTTTTTTCCCACATATTTCCCATGATTTGCTTCTTTTTACTGCTGAAAATTGACGCCGGAGTGACTTGTGATGTTTTTTCTCTTTTGACAGGATCGCCACCCAGGATCCGGAGTTGCGAGAAAAGTTCAGCGGAATGCCAGAACACGTGGTAAACTTCTTCTACTACCTGGCTGAGGAGCTTCGATCAATCATGGCCAAGTTAGGCATCCGAACCATCAACGAGATGGTTGGGCGCGCCGACCTCCTCAAGGTCGATGAGAGCCTGCGCACTCCAAAAACCCAGAAGCTTGACTTGAGCCCTCTACTCAAGCCTGCTCACCAGATGCGCCCAGGAGCTGCGACGTACAAGGTCCGCCAGCAGGATCACAAGCTGTACATTCGTCTCGACAACAAGTTCATTGACGAGGCCGAGCCAGCCTTGACCGAAGGTCTACCCGTCACAATCGACTGCGAAGTTGTCAACACTGACCGCGCTCTCGGTACCACCCTGTCCTACCGCGTCTCAAAGCTTTACGGTGAGGAGGGCCTTCCCCGCGACACGATCCACATCAACGCCAAGGGTAGCGCTGGTCAGTCTTGTGGAGCTTTCCTCGCCCCAGGTGTCACCATCGAGCTAGAGGGTGACGCTAATGACTACGTTGGCAAGGGCATGTCTGGTGGTCGCCTCATCGTCTACCCGCCAAAGAACTCACCATTCAAGGCCGAGGAGAACATCATTGTTGGAAACGTTTGCTTGTACGGTGCGACCTCTGGTAACGCCTACTTCCGCGGTATCGCCGCCGAGCGATTCGCTGTCCGCAACTCCGGTGCGCACGCCGTCGTTGAGGGCGTCGGTGACCACGGTTGTGAGTACATGACTGGTGGTCGTGTCGTTATTCTCGGCAGCACTGGTCGCAACTTCGCTGCCGGCATGAGCGGAGGTATCGCCTATGTTCTTGACATGAACAGAGACTTTGCCAGCAAGTGCAACACCGAGATGGTCGAGCTCGGCCCGGTCCGTGACCCACACGACATCGCAGAGCTCCGCAACCTCATCGAGAACCACCGTCACTACACCGGATCCACCGTTGCCGATCACGTGATCCACGACTTCCACCACCTCTTGCCACGCTTTGTCCGCGTCATGCCCGTCGACTACAAGCGGGTTCTTGAGGAGGAGGCTGCCAAGGCTGCCGCGGAAAAGAAGCGCTCCAGCCATGTCGACCTTCTAGGAACCCTTTCCCGACACAACAGCCAGGTCGACGTCTCCATCGTCGAGGACAAGCAAAAGGACAACGCGGTCGATAGCGTTCGTGAAGTCCCGGCGGCCAAGCCCGCTGAGCCAGCTGTCGTCGATGTCGAGGACTCGATGGTGGATGACGAGACTGCCAAGGCTCGCCTTGGAAAGCTTGACAAGATTCGAGGCTTCAAGAAGTATAAGAGACTTGGAGAGCACTACCGCAACCCAACCAAGCGAGTCAAGGACTTCAAGGAACTCTCTACCCGCCTCAGCGAGTCCGAGCTCAAGTACCAGACTGCCCGATGCATGGACTGCGGTGTTCCTTTCTGCCAGTCTGACACAGGTTGCCCGATCTCCAACGTCATTCCAAAGTGGAACGACCTCGTCTTCAAGGGAGAGTGGCGCGACGCCTTCAACAAGCTCATGGCCACCAACAACTTCCCCGAGTTTACCGGTCGAGTCTGCCCAGCTCCATGCGAGGGTGCTTGTGTGCTTGGTATAATCGAACAGCCCGTCGGTATCAAGAGCGTTGAGGCTGCCATCATTGACAAGGCGTGGGAGGAGGGATGGATGGTCCCAAGGCCACCAGCGCGCCGAACTGGGAAGACTGTTGCTATCATTGGCTCTGGTCCCGCAGGCTTGGCCTGTGCAGACCAGCTCAACCGAGCCGGTCACTCGGTCACCGTCTACGAGCGTGCTGACCGAATCGGTGGTCTCCTCATGTACGGCATCCCAAACATGAAGCTCGACAAGGCTGTCGTACAACGCCGTGTCGACCTCATGGCCGCTGAAGGTGTCAAGTTCATCACTGGAACGTCGGTCGGCAAGGATGTTCAGGCTTCTGACCTGAAGGTCCAGAACGACGCTCTCGTATACGCCACTGGTGCCACCTGGCCACGTGACCTCAAGATCCCTGGTCGTGAGGCTGACGGCGTTCACTTTGCCATGGATTTCCTCAGTGCCAACACCAAGTCCCTACTTGACTCCGGCCTCCAGGATGGCAACTACCTTAGTGCCGAGGGCAAGCATGTGATTGTGATTGGAGGTGGTGACACAGGAAATGACTGTATTGGAACCTCCGTTCGTCACGGTGCCAAGTCGGTCGTCAACTTCGAGCTCCTCCCACAGCCACCTGAGTCGCGTGCCGCCGGAAACCCATGGCCTCAGTGGCCAAGGATCTTCCGAACCGATTACGGTCACACTGAGGTGGCCGAGAACTTCGGTACCGGTGACCCGCGCGAGTACTGCATCTCGACCACCTCCTTCGAGAAGGACGAGAGCGGTAAGCTCGTTGCCCTCAACACTGTCAGAGTCGCCTGGGAGATGGACGCTTCTGGCAAGTGGCAGATGAACAAGGTCCCGGGATCCGAGCAAAGGTTCCCATGTGATCTCTGCCTCCTCGCCCTTGGTTTCCTCTCCCCAGAGACCCAGGCCTTGGAGTCCCTGGGAATTGAGAAGGACGGGCGCGGCAACATCAAGGCTGACGACAACAAGGGCAAGGCTCCATATAAGACCTCCGTTCCTGGCGTCTACGCTGCCGGTGACTGCAGAAGGGGTCAGTCGCTTATTGTTTGGGGTATCCAGGAGGGACGTGCGGCTGCCGCCGTCATTGACGAGGACCTCGAGGGCAGCACCCGACTGCCATGGGCCGGTGGTATCAAGAGGCGAACCTTCGAGGGTCTCAAGAGCCAAACCAAGGTTTCTGCCACCGCGTGAAGCAACACGTTTGTCTCACGTCAGATGATACGTTTGGAATAACCTCTTTCGGAGTGGCGACATCATCGCCATCCCTCCTCCAACTTTCTGTTTATGTTTTCACGATCTCGCCTCGCTTTTCTGTCTCACTCTCTCTCGGTTCGGATGTGGCTCAGTTTCTATCTATCCTTTCTCTTCCTATTCATCATGTCGTTACTTTTTTTTTGTTACGTTTTTCAGTCTTGGTAGGATGAATGCTAACGGTAATGTGACGAGACACGACGTGTGTGTGCGATTTCTCCGGATGAAGCTTTCGTTGCGTCCCGCAAGCATTCGATTCTGGTGACACTCGCAAGTATCCAACGTTACACCTCTGGACCAACCAAGCGGCTACGACGGAACGACAAGAAAAAACTCTACTGCCTTGAAAAATGCGGCCAAAAACAGCGGAAGGGGAGTAGGAACAAAAATGTGTGCCGAACCAAAGTTCAAAAAGTTGACATTCTGGAGACTGCCGGGATTGAACCGGCGACTTTTCGCAGAAGAGCAAGGAGGTTGCAAAGCGAACGCTCTACCACTGAACTAAATCCCCGTCACGTGATATATCCACTAGTTTTGATATTACATCGATATGGTTCGGAATCAACCGGATTCAAGAGAGAATCAAAAAGAAATCATGACCATGGCCAAGTTGAAAAAGGCCTTGAGATCGTCACCCTCCCGCGCCCACATGTCCGATCTCTACCTTTTCTTATGAAAGCGAAGTAGAAAAATGTTGAAAACAAGGTGGAGAGAGGGACACGAAAGGGAATGAGAATCGCGGTTGGGGGAGTGGGGGTTTGACCAAGTAAAAAAAAACTTCTGCGGTAAAAGAAATGGAGACTGCCGGGATTGAACCGGCGACTTTTCGCAAGCGTGTCTCAAGACCGTGCAAAGCGAACGCTCTACCACTGAACTAAATCCCCATTCTTATTACACCTTTTGATTAGCCAATATCAAAACCTAGAAGTCAAAGACGAAATAGAAATAAGGACCCTCGACGAATCCCCCCCAAAACTTTCGTAGAAACCCCCTTCAAACCCTCAATCAACGGTTCCCTGATGCTCATCTCGCCCTTCGAATCCAACAGGATGCCTACCAACCCGATTCGAAAATCAGATAAAGAAAGACACACACAGACAACAAGGTGAGAGAGGGAATCAAAAGGTCGTGGTTGTTATGGGAAGTGAGTTGGAATGTGATCCTTTCATCTCTTTTTCTCCAGTTGCATGGCATTCCGATGGTTGAGAGCGAAGAGGGAGGATTTTTTGAGAAGGAAGAAGGTCGATAGTGAAGAAAATTGGGCTCACCCCCCTCAAACTCAACCCAGGCTTCTTCTGCCTCGCCTTCAATCCATTTTCTGAGGCTTTGTCCACTTTCACACACACGGATCGCAATTTCACCGTACCCTTCTCGAGGAGATGAGGCTCATCATTGGACGAAATATCATCTATCTACAGTTACAGGTCCTCACAGGATGATCGAAACTCGTCGTTTTATCACCGGCATTGTCTAACGTCTCGAAATTTTCCTACGAAGTATCCATTGTCTCTTCTCCACCCGCGCCCGCGGCAGCTGCAGGTAGGGGTGCGGGCGTCGGCGCTGTGCTGCCAACCTCGAAAACATCTGTCGAGACCGTGAGGGGGAAAGACGAGAAGGCTCAGCCCGCATATTCTTTGTTGGAGAGTCTCGTGAATTAAGGGTAGAACAACTCACCCTCCTTCTGGATCATGCTGTAGATGTGTTCCTTGGTAAATCTTGTCGTGCCCTTCGCGAAGCCGTACTTTTGCTCCTTCTTGGCCCTCTCGTTTGGCATGACGTAGTTCCTCAGCATTTCGGTGGAGTCCTTCTTGATAATGCAGACATCCACGTTGGAACCGGAACCCAAGTCGTTGAAGATACCCGAAGAGATGGCAGCTACGACGAGATCTACAGCCTCTTTTTGCTGGTTCATTTGTTTGATTTTCATGTTCATGGGGGGAAAGAAAAAAATCACCAATTACTTTCCAAGTCCACGGGAGCCCCAGCATCACTAAATTCTAGCTCGGATCAAGATCCGTGCTGGCCACTCACCTCCATATCCTTGTGCCAACCACTTTCGAAGACAGCCATGGCCGCCAGGCTACCGGAGCCCATGGTGACGTACGGAAGCTTGTCTGTCGATCCGTGAGGAGCAACGGTGAAGAGTTGTGGGCCTGTGGCGTCGTAACCTCCGAGAACGAGAGCTGCGCCAATGTGGCCCTGGTATTGGAAAAGCCTTTGCTTGAGCATGGTCATCGCCGTGACAACCCTTGGTTTCCTTCCTGTGTGCAAGGCATGAAGCTGCATGTTGGAGGAGATGAGGGCGGTAACGAACTCTGTGTCCGCAGCAGTACCAGCACCACAGCACCTGATATTGTCGCTAATGTAGTGGATCTGATCGAGATGCGGGAAAGGTGAGAAGGGGTATGATCAGAAAACGTGCCCCCAACGCCGTTCCTTGTTCGCGGGCAAGGGGGACAGCGTCCATCAAGCCGCATACAAATTGAAAACTCCAAATGCTCAACTCACCTTCTCGCAGTTCTTGTCAGCAACGATGGGACCCTCCGTAGCCCTGGTATCGGCACCTAGGACGATGCCATCCTTGTAGATCAAGCCGACGATGGTGGTACCTGTGCTAGTGGCCGTGAACCCACCTAGGCCCTTGCCGTCCAGAAAGTGGTTCCTAGAGTAGTTGGAAAAGTCAAAGCCGGACTTGGACTTTTGAGGAGCGACTGAAGTCATGCCGGGCTACGTTACGATGGCTGGCTGGGAAATCGAAAAAAGGTTGAGTAAACTTTTGGCTGGAGGTAAAAAAAAGGATTGGTGTTGCGTACTTCAAGGGTAGCTTTGCGACCAAGTAGGGGTACGAAGCGAGCTTGAGGCGACTTTGGCCAAAGCGGATGGTGTCAAGGTAGGCTTTGGGTAAGAGAGACGCCTTCAAGGCTCGCAGATGATCATCGGTCGAAGGCGTGTATGTGTCCAGTCCGAGTCCCTTTCTTACTAGGGCCAGTGCGTCGGGCTTGTGTGGCCCCCCCGGCTCCCTTTTCAATTCCCAGGCTTGCGCGGTCTGGTGATCGGAAGGAGAAGGGGTGTTAGGGTGTATGGCTTGCGTTGATGTTCAAAGTGGAGAAGATGCCAAACCAACACACTCAGCCTGGATTAGGTAAGCATAATCGAGATGCTCTACTTTCAACCAGCATGGCGTACTTCGCTCTCCTTGGAACCCAAGGGCTTCTCTTGGTTCTTCCCCCCCCC